GAGAATTCATTGAATTCCCAAGTGCTACTGAACAAGGTACACTTTTTAGCATATTAAATATCTATTCAGGGAACTCCCATTTCAGAAATGGGATGAGCATATGAGAACTTTGCTGGAATCTAGCTGCATCACATCATGTACCTGATTGCTTTGAAATCTTCCCTTCAGGACATAGATTGCAGTCATAGCAGCAAAATTTCTCCCCTTCCCTCCTCACGTCTTCTGATGACCAGGTGGGCAGGAATCACTACAGACAGAAAGAGCCACGACCTATCCATGAAGGTGGAAGACAGTAGACATTTCTTTTTAAAAGATGAACACATTCTGAGAGAATAACAATATGTGATCCCCTGACATGGAAGTATGCAGACCTTAGTGAACAAAGCAATCCACCAGAAAGTTTCAGACCCTGTCAGCTATTACATATATCCATTAAGAATAGGCTGCCTGGAGAAACAGCAAGCAAACATACTAACAAACACCAACCAAACTTTGGAAAGGATACAATCAATGCTGTGTTTCATGGTTTCATGCAGTTTTCTGTGAGACTTGCATTACAAACACTTCATACATGGAGTTCAGGTGCCCCATAATGTTCTTTCTAACGAATCTACACCCCATAAAGGAAAATCCTGCAGTGTGTCCTTTCCTAGCAAGACCTAGTTAAGACTTGGATTTCCTTTATGGATTCCGTTCATCTCCTACTTGGTCTTCCCCTCCCTTTCTTTTTAACTTGAAGAATAACATGCATCACACAAAGAAAGCAAGAGTTGCTTTCTAATAATAGGAAGAATTCAGTGCTCGCTTATATTAATGTCAATTGCATTAGTGAACTCTGCAATTATGCATTAATTAAACTAATCACCCAGAACAGGGTGACTTGGGCAGGAGAGCAGATTTCTGCTTCTTGCTCCCATTTCACTGATCCGCATCCTGGAGTGCTTACCAGGCCTTTTAAGAGCCATAAAATCCATACCGCATGAAAGATCCAATGCCAAATGATTTTGTCCTCCTTAATGTGGAAGGGTTTTCCATCAACCCCTTTTGGGTTCACCCATCCCACTTTCACTTTGTGGAAGGACCTGTTTGGAAATGTCACCAAATTCATGATATCAAATCCACCTTCCACTTCTCCATTCTCATTCAAAGAGACTGTTTCTCCAATGGAATTGTTAAGGACATGCCACGAAGAAAATGGTGCAGCTGGTTGAAAGTTGCGGGGCGAGCAGAAGGCAAAAGAGAATAAATTGTCATTAGTGCACCAGATGGGGGGGGGGGTGTCCTTCCAAAATTTTTCAGGAACCCTATAATGTTGCAGGTGCTATCAATGGTGGATACTGTGTTTTCTGAAACTCATTGAGTAAGAAATGTTGTTCAAGAGGCACTGGGGACTTGAATTTGGGTGCTTTTTTCTCCTCTTCCTGGCCCTTTCCCTTGACAAGTGTATCACTTCCAGACATTGACACTACGATATGACACTGCCTGAAATCAGGGAGAGAAATTCTGCATCACTAAATTGTTTCATAGTCATTTAGTGGAGGATAACCTTAGCATGGAGAAACCATATATTGTTCAGTGCACTTCTCTCCAATAAAGTCTGCACTTTCAAAAACAAAGGTTTTCAAAATGTTGAAAAACCATACACTGTTGGCTACGAAGACAAAAAATGAAAGGAACATGCCTTTACAGATTACTAATATTCATTGCACCATAAATCAGGCTTTTCATGGAGGAACTGCTGGATGCGTCAATCTTGCTAACATTGTGAAAATCCATTCATCTGCACATTGACATTGTGGTGACTTTACCTGCCAAGGCTGCAGATATTGAAGATCAGGTTTCATGTCACCAGCCATTCTTCTGTGATTGTATTGGGATGAATGGAAGGCATTCAAGGCATGTGCCACAGCATAGACAGCATTATAGAGAGTGTAACTGTGGCCAGTCATGTGCATTTCACAAGTATACGCAAGGAGGCTCTCCAGCCTTTCCTCTCCAGTACATCACCCAGATATCTTGTAAGGCACCTGGGGATCTGGAACAGAACAGTCAAATGCTTGCTCCCAGTTCTCCTCCAGAAAACCATCTATATGTGTCCAATCTGGTTTAGCACATGAAGAAATTTCTGGAACTCAAGAACCTCATTTGTGTGAATGGAGAAGGCAATGGCACCATGGAAAGCTTGCAAATCATACTCTTTGATTCTGCTTGCTAGCACAAAATCAACCTGCGCTGTCATAATCCACAGCTTCCCAGCTAAGATATTTTGCTCATACCCAGGATATCCATTCTTACATATGAAATACCACATATAAATGAATGTAAAAGTTTCACCATAGACGACAAAGGTTCTGGATGTCCTTAAGTGGATTAGCTGAAGCATTGCATGGGCCTCAGCATTCCATGCTTTTGCTAGGTATAAATGGTAATGGCTCTGAATCCATCTTGTGAATTCTGTACAGATCCCATGCTGAAAAAACAGTGTTTCCAGGGCCTGCAGGAAAAGTTCTCCCTGAGGGCTATCCACAATGAAAAGCCCAACCCAGGTCCATCCAAAATTCTTAAGCAAGCTGGCAGTTCCTATATACTGATGGATATCAGGTGGGACCATGCGGTAGAAGAGAGGGAGCGCCGTCATCTCCTGCTCCACTGAGGGAAACAATCCACAGGTAAGCTTAAAATATTAGAAAGGATCGTAAAAGTAAGTATGTCAGCTTAATCTATTTTGAAAAGTTATAAGACATGAAATGTAGCCTTGCTGATAAGTGCAGAGGAATGCATTTACATTTAAAGTTGTTCCTTAAGAATCAGATAGGTGTTTTTCAAAGTTGCTCTTCTCAGAGAGTTTTGGAGAGAATCAGTAAAGGTACGAGTCCTCCATGGTCCCCACCTCCTCAGTATGAACCTACCTGAGGAATCTTGAATGGGTTCAAGATTTTTTCCATGCACAATGAGGTATCAAAGGCACGTGCCCCAATGACAGCAATTACTCTTTTCCATGCATCACAATTGTAGTCAGGCACAAGTCTATAGGATCGGAAGAGAAGATCTATCATGGTACGATACGTCATTTGGGCATTATTGCAGCTGTCATAGACGTGGAATCCCAGTGTGACATTCGGCAAGATCCCAGGGTTCCTGTTGATCTCAGTCACAGCAAAAGTCAAGGACAAGATGTTTTGGTAGAAATGTGTCGCAACACTGCAAACAGAGACAAAACCGGTTTGTTCGTTATTTTGTTTGTTTTAGATTCTACAACAAGTAAAATATTCCCTCACGTAATTATTTTTTTGTCCTTGCCTTCCTCATTTTCGTGTCCTGATTTTAAGAAATTGCTTCTCTTTATTGAGAAAGGGTGTAAAAGATAGGCAACTCTTTTTTCCATAACTCCAACTAGGAATTGTGAGGGATTGGGATGTCTTAACATGGAAAGAATCAGCATGCATAGTAATCCCTTTAATTCAATGCTTTTAAGAACCCTTCATCGCTACATGCTTTGGAATAAGTAGACCCCCATTCAAAATCTTTACATATGGAGCAGAACCAGATGAGGCAAAATAGCTAGGACATGACAGTTTGGTTTCACAGTGCATCCAAAGTGTGCCCCAAAGTTTTTGTGCACTGAAGAAATCTCTTTCTGTGCAATTCTTAGCAGTCTGTGTGCTTCATAAATATGGGGTACATTTCTCCAAAAGGGGGTGGTCGTTGTTGTCCAGGATACTTGAGGGAAATATTCCTTGTCACTTTTCAAAAGAGCTTATCTTGATGGCATTCCCTCACTCAAATGACCAAGAGCGTGCACATCTACAGAATGAACATAATTGATGCATGTTGGAGTACTTATGGGCCCTCCAGTCATCTCTCCTCTATGACCACGCTATAAATGAAATTCGTCCATCCGTTCCCATCCATGACAGCCTGCTCAGCTTTTGCAAATTCAAGGAAGCTGCAGACTTGAATTTATGTCATGAGGTTTTGAACACACAGCCTCAAAAACCCTATGGTGAAACAATCCCAAGTGGACCTGATGCATGCATCAGGGAAAATCTACATGAAAATATGAAAAACATCCATGTGATACAAATGTCTAAAACTCAGAGCACAGTGGAGAATCATGGGAATCAGAGGCGCTTGATGAATCAGCATTCTGATGATCCACACATGGCACTCCAAATATTCCAGTGCTACTGCTACCCATCAGGCCATGTTGGTATTGTTGGAACTCAGAGTCCCCCAACTTCTGCTGTGGCACAGGCTTCGCACATTCGTCAGGGCTAACAGATACATAGAAGGTGCTAGTCTGCTATGAGCAAATATCTATTCCCTAAATGGAAGACTGCTTCTCTTAAAGGTAGAACATGTGAAATTCTGTAAGCAACAATAATAAATTCTAAAAAAAAACAGAATATGAAAATGCTTCATTTTGAATATGGTTACCTGTATCTTCCTCCTCTATTGCCCTTCCCTTGTTTTCTTACCCTACACCTTCTTTTCTGACTGACATTTATCATTCCAAGCAAGCATGTGGAATTTTCATTTATTACAGATATTTCATTTTTTACATGCCCCCCCTAAGAATCACGTATGTTAAGATGCTTTACGCCTCTGCAGACACAGGTTTTCACGGTCATGGGTTTACCTCCCTGCTCTTTCTCAGTCCACCTTTTTTGGTTCCATTTCCTTCAGCATGTATTCCTGTCCAGTATTCAAATGAACAATAGAGAACGAGACTTGGACTCAGGTGATCTGTGTTTTCTTTTCCACCAATTAAGCCAATTTCCACAGTTAGGAACATCAGCAGAGTGGGACAATTCCTTTCCCTTTTCCATCCCCATTCCGGTGGCTGACATTTTTGGTTTACAGAGCCTCCATCTCTCTCACGGGTCTTCCGGTCCCTTTGAGACCAGGGCTGGAGTGCCTCTACTTGGTGTTGAGCGAACGAGACAGATTGGGGATTCTATTGGTGTACCGTGCACCTTTCTGCCCAGCAGTCTCCCTATCTGAGCTGACAGAGACCGTCTCGGACCTGGTGTTGAGGACCCCCAGGATGTTGGTCCTGGGGGACTTCAATCTCCATGCCGAGTCTGGACTGACCGGGGCGGCTCAGGACTTCAAGGCTTCTATGACGGCCATGGGCCTGTCTCAACACGTCATCGGCCCGACCCATGAACGTGGACACACTCTGGACCTGGTATTCACGACGAGGCAGGAAGAGGATGACCTGAGGGTGAGGAACTTATGTTTGACTCCCCTGTCATGGTCAGATCACCTCCTGGTGAGGTTTGTGCTCGAGAACGGCCTCTCCCTCTATAAGAGTGCAGACCCGATTGTATGGGCCCTCCCCCAGAGCCGGATGGATCCGGATGGATTCCTGAAGGTCCTGGGGGAGTTTCCGGCTGACAAGACGGGTGCTCCTGTCGAGTCTCTGGTCGAACTGTGGAACGGAGAGATGACCAGGGCTGTGGACATGATCGCTCCCAAGCATCCTCTCCCACTGGGCAGAGTCCGCTCTTCCCCTTGGTATACACCTGAATTGCAGGCGATGAAGCGAGTTGGGAGACGGCTAGAGCGTAGGTGGAGAAAATCACGGGATGAATCTTACCAAACACACTTGAGAGCCCACTATCGGGCCTATGCTGTGGCGGTGAAGGCGGCAAAAAAGAAGTTTTTTTCCACTTCCATTGCCTCCTCACAATGCCGTCCGACGGAACTTTTTCGAGTGGTGCAAGGCCTGGTTTGCCCGGGTCCTAAGGAAGATCCGATGCCACCCTCAAAGGCCTGCTGTGACGACTTTGCCAGTCATTTCAGGGAGAAAATCACTCAGATTCGTCACGAGCTGGACTCCACTAATGAATCGGAGGTCTCTGAGGAGTCACCAATGCTACCGTCTGGTCCAAAATTATTGGAGGAATTTCAATTATTGCGGCCCGATGATGTGGACAAGGTGCTTGGACGAGTACGTCCCACCAGTTGCCTATTGGATCCTTGCCCGTCTTGGTTAATAAATAACTCCAAGCACGGGATTGGGACCTGGATCTTGGAAGTGGTTAACGCTTCTCTGAGGGAGGGTCGAGTGCCTGCCCCTTTAAAGGAGGCGGTAATACGACCGGTCATGAAGAAAGCATCACTGGATCCAGAGATGGCCACTAACTATAGACCTGTGGCCAACATCCCGTTTCTGGGCAAGGTGTTGGAGCGAGTGGTGGCGGGACAACTCCAAGCACTCTTAGATGAAACTGATTATCTGGATCCTTTTCAGTCCGGCTTCAGACCCGGGTACAGTACTGAATCTGCCTTGGTTGCCCTGTACGATGACCTGTGCAGGGAGAAGGACAGGGGGAGTACATCCCTGTTGGTTCTTCTGGACCTCTCGGCGGCTTTCGATACCATCGACCATGGTATCCTTCTGGATAGGCTAGCGGGATTGGGAGTTGGAGGCACTGCTCTGCAGTGGTTCCACTCCTTTCTCAACAGTCAATTCCAGAAGGTAGTGCTGGGGGACCATGTCTCTACATCATGGCAGCTATGCCATGGAGTGCCACAGGGCTCCATTCTATCCCATCTGCTATTTAACATCTATATGAAACCGCTGGGAGAGGTGATCAGGAGGTGTGGGCTGCGGAATCATCAATACGCTGATGATACCCAGCTTTACCTCTCATTTTCCACTAATCCAGGTGAGGCAGTGGCTGTGTTGAACCGGTGCTTGGCCGAGGTAAGGGAATGGATGAGGGCAAATAAACTGAAACTCAACCCAGACAAGACGGAGGTCCTGTTGGTTGGAGGATCGGGTTTTGGAGAGGGTAGATTTGACCTGGTCCTGAATGGTGCAACACTCCCCCTTAGGGATAAGGTCCGCAGCTTAGGAGTACTCCTCGACCCGGAGCTTTCTTTGGAAGCTCAGGTGACAGCGGT